TTTTAGACTAAAAGATGGAAAATTTAGACTAGATACAAGGAAGAAATTTTTTACGCTGAGGGTGGTGAAACACTGGAACAGGTTGCCCAGAAAGGTGGTAGATGCCCCGTCCCTGGAAGTGTTCAAGGTCAGGTTGGACGTGGCTTTGAGCAACCTGGCCTAGTGGAAGGTGTCCCTGCCCACGGCAGGGGGGTTGGACTAGATGACCTTTAAGCGTCCCTTCCAGCCTAAACCATTCTATGATGATTCTATATGGACACTATGGACAATGATCCCACATGTCCTCCCAAAACGATTCTGCCTGCGCCACAGCACTAAACCCAGGTGCTAAAAAATGCTGGGATATTTTTTCCTTCATGCAAAACAGTTGCAGCCCTATGGCAGCTGCCTGTTTGTTCAGAGTGGAAATTTTAAAAAAATTATTTTAGTTCAAGAATTCAGGCTTGAAAAATGTCAGCAGACACCCATGTTTTATATTTACCCAAGTACCTCCACTCCTGACCATCTGCAGACAGTAGAAACTGTAAAAATTAATTTAAAAAACTCTACCCAGAATGGAATATTAACTAACTTCACCAGAGGGGCGAGGGAAATGTTGCAAAGCACTGCACTGCCATCTGTGTGGGGGAAACCTCTCCAAGCCAGCAAACCTCAGCTCTCCCAAACCAGCGGAGGAAAAGCTGTGCGCGTCCCCTGACACGTCTGGGCTGCTGCAACCATGGGCAGGCAAATGCAGCTGCCCACAGGAGACAGGCAAGCTTTTGAGTCCCGATCTGGGGTGTTTGTGGTTCCTCTCCTCCCTCAGTTAAGCACAGGTCTGAGACCTCGTCTGAGCTCACACAGCTCGCAGCTGAAACCAGGAACAGACGCCGAGCTCGGCACTTTAATTGCTCTAGTTCTTTGGGATTCCTCCCCCTTGAAGAGCATCCATGTCGAGGCCCCGCTCGCTTGGACACGGATAGATAACGCTTGTGCCGGAGCCCGGGGATGCCAGCTCAGTCCAAGAGGACATTCAAACCCAGATTGAGGCCTGAAAGCTTCTTTTTTATGGTGACTCTGAGCATGTCTGCGTGGCAGTCATTTGGGGCAGCTAAATGCTGGGGGACATTTCTCTGTCCTGCTTTGGGGACCCCCACCACCTGGCTCTAAGAAAGCCCACAAGCATGTCTGCTCCACTCCTCTCAGAAGACCCTACTCCTATAAGCGCAAAATGCATTGTGTGCCCTGTAGACACCCAAACCCCAAAACCAAACACCCAAACCCCAAGCTCTTACCGCAGCAATGGTTGAGATGTCATGCACGCGCTCCTCAGGAATGACTGCCGGCTGCCTTTCTTTCACAGCCAGGCTCTCATCAGCATGTTCAGCGGGCAAAAGGCTCTCGGGACAGCTTGTGGAGGAAGGCTCCTCCTCCCCACAGGGCAGCTCCCCTGAAGAAGACGATACCGTACTATCGACAACACCAGGAGCCCCATCAGCATCAGTCTGAGAGTCTGCAGGGCTCTCCTCTGGGTGGAAAGGTCCCTGGCAATGCGTGCTTCGATCCAGAGAGCTGCTGGGAGTCTGGTCAGGGTCTGACCGAGAGTCTGCAGGGCACGTCTCCAACCCGAAACAATCCTCACCATCATCACTCAGCTCAAGAAAGTCCCCAGTGCTATTTATCGAGACGTACTTCTCGGGGTTGCTGTGCTCCACCACCTTCCTCGTGCTGCTCAGGAGTTTGCTGGGTTTGCTGTAGAAGAGAGCCACCCACATATGAAGTATCAGCTTCATCTCTTCCACGTCATCGGGCAGATCAGGGTCCCAGGGCCTGGAAGGGAAAGCAAACACAGCCTGAAACGTCTTCGTCCTCCCTCCAGTTGACTAGCACAAGGTAACTCATCTCCTGGTTCCCCACGGCGCTAATGGGGGGCTGCAAATGCCCAGCTAATTTGCAGGGGGGGCTGCAAATGCCCAGCTGCAGAAACAGATCACTTGATGCGGTTTCCAGCTTGTTGAAAAAAATTAGAAACTCACAGCTGCAAAGGAGGACTTCTGTTCATGGCTCTAGGTACCAATTCTAGTTGCAGAGCCACAGGAATCATAGAATGGTTTGGGTTAGGAGGGATCTTTAAAGATAATCTAGTCCAATCCCGCCCTGCCATGGGGGAAGATGCCAGGGACATCTTCCACCAAATCAGGTTGCTCAAAGTCTCCTCCAGCCTGACCTTGATCACTTCCAATGATGCGGCATCCACAACTTCTCTGGGCAACCTGTGCTAGCGTTTCACCACCCTTGGCATAAAACATTTCTTCCTTATGTCCAAACCAAACCTACCCTCTCTCAGTTTAAAACCGTTGCCCCTTGTCCTGTCTACATGCCTTGGTAAAAAGTCTGTCCCCATCTTTCTTATAAACGCCTTTTAAGTATTGAAAGGCCGCAATAAAGTCTCTCCAGAGCCCTCTCTTCTCCAGACTGAACAATCCCAACTCTCTCAGCCTTTCCTCATAGGAGAGGTGTTCCAGCCCTCTGATCATTTTCGTGGCCTCCTCTGGACTCGCTCCAACAGGTCCGTGTCTTTCCTGTGCTGGGGACCCCAGAGCTGGCCGCAGTGCTCCAGGCAGGGGTATTACCAGAGCAGAGTAGAGGGGCAGAATCACCCCCCTTGACCTGCTGGCCACGCTGCTTTGGATGCAGCCCAGGATACAATTGACTTGGTGGGCTGCGAGCGCACGTTGCCGGCTCATGTCCAATATGTCACCCACCAGCGTCCCCAAGTCCTTCTCCGCAAGGAGGACACACCAGCTTTAACGCAGCAAAACTGGGCATGTGAGCATGGAGAAAAAGGCAATTATCATGCAAAGCAAAGCAAAAAAGAGCAAAGAAAGCCCCTTCCAAAAGTGCTCCAGACATCCAGCAAGAGACATCCCCTGCAGATGGCCTTCCAGACTGACTTACCCGTGCAGGGCGCGGATGACTGTTTTCTCCAGGGCATCGTTGGTGTACCTGCTGTCCAAATTGAAGAGATACTCTGCCTCCCAATGGCACGTCACCTTCACGGACTCACTGCAGATGTTCACTGTGTGAGACTTGGCGAAGTCCTCCTTCAGCCTGGGGGAGAGCAGGCTGCTCCTGCGCCTCATCGTCACAGCGTTGAAGGGCCGCTGGTGGTGGGTGCTGTTCTGCTGGTGGCGGAAAGGCAGGACTTTCCCAACCAGGGGTCCTGCTCGGGCGTTCCTGGTCCCGTTTCTGGAGGGTGCTGGTCCGGGGTAGGGGGCACCTCTGGGATACATGTGTTTCTTTGAGTGCTCAGGCATCTGCGAGGCGTATGAGTGCTCGGCAGAGATGAAGGAGTGCTTGTTCACCTCGGCAGCTTTTTGAGTCTCTCTTGGAGGCAACACAGGAGGTTTTGCAGGACTGGGGCTTGCACCGTTCTTCTTGCTGAAAATCCCAGGGCTTTTCTCCCTGGGA